ATTTAAAATAGCTGTTTTCTATGTGAATATCTGTTAAAATGTAATTTATTTCTGTGATGTGCAGCTGAATTTTCAGCATCATTACTCCAGTCTTCAGTGTCACATGATCTTCAGAAATCATAATAATATGCTGATTTGCTGCTCAAGAAACATTTCTGATTATTATCAATGTTGAAAACAGTTGTGCTGCCCAATATTTTTTTGGAAACTGAGATACATTTTATTTTTCAGGATTCACAGATGAATAGAAAGTTCAAAAGAACAGCATTTATTTGAAATAGAGATCTTTTGAAACATTGTAAATGTCTTTACTGCCACTTCCAATCAATTTAATGCATCCTTGATATAATTTTTTTATTATTATTATTCTTGAGCAGCATATTAGAGTGATTTCTGAAGGATCATGTGACGCTGAAGACTGGAGTAATGATGCTGAAAATTCAGCTTTGATCACAGGAATAAATTGCATTTTAATATATATTCACACAGAAAACAGCTAATTTAAATTGCAATAATATTTCACAATATTTTACTGTATTTTTGATCGAAAAAATGCAGCCTTGGTGAGCAGAAGAGGCTTCTTTTAGAAACATCAAACCTTACAGACCCCAAGCTTCTGACTGGTAGTGTCAGATAAAGTGACAGGCAAAAGTCAAAGATAAAGCTATAAATTATTTATTTCCATGAGCAGATCACCTTTGACAACAAGGCCCACAGCGGTAGAATCACGATCGACCTGGACAATGACGTGCACATCTATGAATGCAGAGACTGGAGTGTGACTGGAGCATGTGAGTGTTTCTCATGAGTCCCTCTAAGAGTCATTTCTGTTGTGCAAAACCCTTAATCTTTTACTTTTAATAAATGAGTATGCGTGTTGTCATTTAAGGAAGTATTTCTATAAACCGTTCTATAGCAGACTTGCAGAAATGTGCTTCGGTCAAGATGCTTCTGCTTTAATAATCATGACTTGATTTACATAATGACAAGAAAATGAACAGGATGGAAAGAGTTAAAGAGCTTGTGATTTAACGTGACAAAAATTAACATTCGCTCCAACCGAACAAGTGTAATGAAAAATGTATTTGATTGTGATCAGAAATCTGACTAATAGCATTGTGATCTTAATGCAAGACAGCACAGGTGAATAGTGTAAAAAATTTAACAAATAAATATCATCTACTTCTCCAGCTGATTGATTATTTTAAGAATTGCAAAAAAAATTTTTATTACAAGTTTTCTGAAATGTTATGTTTAAATAAATATGCAAACGAGGCATTTTTTTATTAAATATTCACTAAACTGCATAAAATTCCAGAAGATAAATCTGAACATCGGTTAAAGCCAGGTTCTAAATTCTTGTTTGATTTTGTTGACGTATTAGAGTTAAAGGTTTTTACAGAAGGGAATTTGGATTTCTCTTTTTATCACTCCATAAATAAGAAAATACTGTCAACAGCCAGAAAAATACATTTTCACAATGTTTTTAGGAATAAAATATTATATAAATCATTGTGAATGATATATGAACAAACCCCTCAGTAAAATCCTTCAGAATATAGAGAGGAATAAAACTGTAAAGTTTGGTGTATGTAAGTGCTGCTGAAGTGGAGAAAAAACCTTTAAAGATATGTATTGTAATTGAAATCTACAGATGCAAATAGATAAAGTGTAAAAAGAAAACCAGATGAATGATACATGAACAAAACCTTCAGTAAAACCCTTCATAATATAGAGAGGAATAAAACTGTAAAGTTTGGTGTATGTAAGTGCTGCTGAAGTGGAGAAAAACCTTTAAACATATGTATTGTAATTGAAATGTACAAACGCAGATAGATAAAGTGCAATAAAATAAACACTTAAATGTAAACATAAATATACATTTATTCATTTAGACAAAAATGTATATTTAGATGATAAATGAACTTTTCCACGACATTCTAATTTATTGAGATGCACCTGTATATTTAGGATGCATGTCTAAAAGAAGACATGTTATGAAAAGCCAAATAGCCCAACATGACATAACTGGCCAGTGCATGAGAAAAAAAGGTTTTCCTTGTAGTCACTTGTCTTAAAAAAGATTCACTGAAAATTGACATGAAGCATTCATGAATGTTTTTTTTCTGTAGCCCCGAGGAGCATGTACGTGCTGGTTCTGTTTGACGTGATGGTCATTCTGATTCTCGTGCTGTCGCTGCTGCTCTGCATGCGCTCGGTCAAAGCTGGAGTTCAGCTGCAGTTTGTGAGTTCATGTGTGCTGTGCTGTGCTCGTTGGTTTGGTGATGTTTGTGCAATTAATGATTTAGATGAAAAAAAAAAAAACTTGTTTCACTGTTGCACACAAAAAAACCTGTTGGAATGTCTGAGCTGCTGTTTTCAATACAATGAAAGTGGAAGGGGATTTATACGGTCAAGTTCCAAAACAAGCTATAAAAGTTTATATTCCTAGTCCTCTGAAGTCATGTGATGTTTTCTGTGAGTAGCTTTGAATATAAGGCACACTGAAAAAAAAATATTGAGGCCTAAAGTTAAGATTTAGGCTATGTATTTGAATTGCATTTAGAGTTTCCATGCATTTGGGTTACACAGTTTTAACAGAAACTAATACATTTAATGTGACGCATGTTTGTCAGTCATACATAAATGAAACAGGTCAGATTTCTCTAGTAGTACTAATAAACTGAATATGTTTTAAATACACAATAACCTGCTTTATATATTTATCATCATTAAATCCCGTTTGTTTCAATCATTTTGACTAATTGAATATTGCTTGTTCCACGACTAGCCATATTATGACCTTGTTCATACTTGTTAACTAAATAAATATAATTGTTTTCATAATTAACGTATTTATGTGGATTCTAAGTCATTTGAATAAATGCATTTTGAAAATCTGATTGTTTTTATGTCGATCCATTCTGCAGGAATATAGAGAATTCTTCTCCATTCGTTATGGCAAACGCGTGTCCTTCTCCGACCGCATGGAGTTCATTAACGGCTGGTACATCCTCATCATCGTTAGTGACGTTCTGACCATCACAGGCTCTCTGCTGAAGATCATCATCCAGCTGAAGGTGAGAGTGAAATCAGCAGATTATTGCTGTGTAAAAGTTTGGAACATCACAGAACTGTAATATGGGAATTATAGTCATAATTGATCACATATCATTTTTTCTAGTTAAATAAACATGTGTAAACATGTAGATACAATGTCAGTTAATGCCCTCTGTTGGTCATGTATCTGTGTATACACAACCATCCAACAGTTTGTAGTCTATAAGATTTTTTAATGTTTTCAAAAGAAGTCTCCTCTGCTCACCAGGGCTGCATTTATTTAATCAAAAATACAGTAAAATTGTGAAATATTTTTACTATTTAAAATAGCTGTTTTCTATGTGAATATATGTGAAACTGTAATTTATTTCTGTGATGCGCAGCTGAATTTTCAGCATCATTACTCCAGTCTTCAGTGTCACATGATCTTCAGAAATCATTCTAATATGCTGATTTGCTGCTCAAGAAACATTTCTGATTATTATCAATGTCGAAAACAGTTGTGCTGCCCAATATTTTGTGGAAACTGTGATACTTTTTATTTTTCAGGATTCACAGATGAATAGAAAGTTCAAAAGAACAGCATTTATTTGAAACAGAAACCCTTTGTAACATTATAAATGTCTTTACTGCCACTTCCAATCAATTTAATGCATCCTTGATAAATAATTTTGTGTGTTCTTGCCAAAAATCATTATTTTTTCAAAAAATGATCTTACTCACCCCAAATGTTTGAATGGTAGTGTATCCGTATAATATTAATATGTCATATAGAATATTTATAAAATACAGTTTTGTTGTAATAGTTAAAATCAAATAGACATTAAGAAATAGTCACAATATTTGAAAATAATACATAAGCAGTCTGAAGATTTGGCTTCTAAGATTTGCTAAAGGCATCAGTCCTGCTATGGCTGATTTTAGGTCAGTGAAATGACTCTTTTATGGTGTTTGTGTCAGTTGTTGGGCTCTGTCTCTGTGGTCTTTCAGGCCGTGGCGAGTTACGATCTGTGCAGTATCCTGCTAGGCACCGGAACCATGCTAGTCTGGATCGGCGTCTTACGCTACATGGGCTACTTCAAAAAATACAACGTACGACAACGTTCTCACTAATCACATCTGAGTCCAGCAGGAGCGAGTTACACATGCTTCTACAACATGAGCTCTGACATCCATCATTTGATTGCGTATTATATGTGACCCTGGACAACAAAACCAGTCATAAGGGCCAATTTTTTTAAATTGAGTTTTATACAGCATCTGAAAGCTGCTTTCCATTGGTGTATGGTTTGTTAGGATCGGACAATATT